GTCACTCACGATCTGTGGCCAAGCTTTTAGGGTTAATATCAGAAGAAAGTCATTCTTGAGTAAAGAAGTAAATTAACCTGATAATAAGTTGGCAAACAACGATTTATAAGCATAATAAAGTGATTTACTTTGAGGGGAACATACTATACGTTTCAACAAAACATTAGTCTGTCTTCTTTGGTTATACCTATAGAAGACACTGTTCCACTACGATATCTCCTCACGAAATAGTTTTTCTCGATCGTTGCTACCCTCTATAGGCGCAAATTTTCAACGCTCGTCACTAGTCCTCTACCTCCCGCTTCTGCATATTCACATGTAAATGTTTATGCAGCAGCTCTCCACCAATAGGAGCGCGACACAACCCCTATTGCAACCAATGCTCTCTCCACATTTGCACTCGTCAATCACTTTTCGACTGGCAGGAGTACTGTATAGACGTGTTTGTTTTTACTCGAAAATTTGTTGACATTTTCCTTTATACTACAGACTTCGTTTTTCTTTTAATATTTCTTTACTTTTTCGCGTTTTTGAATAGTGAAGGATTGCTTTTCCCAACTTATATTTTATTTTATTTTTTGCTTTAAGTTTGGACTTGTCACTATGCACTCTGTTCCAGGTAGTTACACCTGCCATAGCTGCTGCGGGTTTTCCGATCGACGAGAAATGTCCACGTTCATGTAACCTTCATTACCACACGAGGAATATACTGTCATGCCTGCTCCTGGGATGTATGACGGGTAGGACAGCCTATTCCCTCCCCTTGAATATACTTCCCAGTCACAAGTGATATTGGGGGATTTACTAAGATCTTCTTCACCCTTTGTGGAATTAATTGATTAGATTTGTGGTGTCATATTTATCTCTTGTTTCCTATGATTTTCAACCTGCCCTCATTGGTGAAAAATCTATGGGCCAATATTAAGTGTTTCCTCCATCACCTGATATTGGGCTTGATGCCCAGTGTTATGTAGTAGTATGGTTCTTCTACCTCATACATCTGAAGATCTTGCTTATGCATTTTATAGAACTTCCTTCCCTTATCTTGTTTCCCAACATTTGAAATATCGCATTGCCTCCCCCCCCCCCCCACATACACACACAAGTGATCCTGTTTCTCGTCGGAATTTACAGAATGTGGTTCGGGACTTGCTTTGGAAAGAGGGCACAGAACTTTGGGAACCTTCTCATCCAGAGTTTTACTCCCATCTGTTCGTTGTACGACAGATTGGCGACCAGTTATAGATTTATCATTCCTGGACATCCCAAATATCATGATGGAGACTTACTTAACCCTTTGGTGGGTTTTCACACTATGTGTCAGTTATCTATCTACACATTCCCATCACCCAGACATCCTGGCATTTCCTCTGCAGGAACATGTTTATCAGGTTTGGGCTCTACCATTTTGCCTCGCTTTGGCTCCTTCTGCCAAGTAGTCAGGTCGTTCGTTCGACTACTTAAGGCCAGAAGCCTTCTTTTTCACCATTACATGGACGACTGGCTACTTTTGGCTTCCTATCAGGTCGAATCTGCTGTTCATACTCAGTTTCTTCGAGATATACTGCCACAGTGGGTTGGCTCATCAAATTGGAGAAGTTGTTTCTCACACCCACACAATATTTAATTCCTCTGGGTGTTTTTCTTTTACTTTATCAGCCAGGCCAAACTTTCTCCCCGTTGTTTACAGGATATGGAATGTCTTGTTCACAATCTATCGTCCTCCCCTCTCTTACTGCACAAAAGACCCTATGTTTTTTGGGGATGTGGGCTACTCTTGAAGTCCTCATTCCCCTTAGTCACGCCCACGTGCGTCACCTTCAGTGGGCATTACTCGACCAATGGAGTCTCATTCGGGATCCCTTCATTGCTCCCATTACCCTTCCTCCACACCTACAGGTCAACTTTGCTTGGTGGTTGGATTGAACCAATACTACCATTGGAGTTCGTCTTCCATTTCCTCGACTGGATTGTCATCTTTTTACAGTTGCTTCCCATTCGGGTTGGGGTGCATATCTCAATGCTAAAAAGTTTCTGGTCATTGGACACTGGCCGAATCGACCCTACATATCAACATCTTGGAGTTGCTGGCAGTTCTTGTGCTCTGCTTCACTTCTTGTCAGATGTTCGGGGGCATTCGGTGATGATTCACTCCAACAATTCCATGGTTGTGTCTTTATATCACCAGGCAAGGGATACTCAGTCACGGGATCTTTGTTTCCGAGTGTTGAATCTCCTCTACTGGGCCCACAATCATTGCATCATGTCATATTCTGGATGCCCTGAAACTGGTCATGGATCAATTATTTCGGTCCTACAAGATTCTTCCGACAGAATGGTCGTTTGTTTTGTAGGTGTTTTAGTAGTTGTATGCTCATTGGGGTTTTCTGGATGTGGGTGCTTTTGCCACACATCTCATTGCACAACTTCCACATTTTTGGTATCTTGTTCTTTATCCTTTAATAGTAGCTTTAGATGTTTTCAATTAAAACTTGGAAGGGAGATTACCTGTATACATATCCTCCTATTTAACTTCTTCTCAGACTCTTCGTTGTTTCAGACCACTTCAAGTTGTGTGCTCCTAGTGGCTCAGTTTTGGCCTGCTCAGACGTAATTTCCATTTCAGTGTCTCTCCCTTTTTTTCCTATTGTGTCCCACACTTGATTGAGGTTGACTCAATCAAGCTTGTGTCATCCATCCATTCACACCTGTGGCTTTTCTCTGATCCTTTGTCAGACAATCCGGATTTCCCAGGCATGTTACTTCATTGATTGCTCATCTTGTATGTCCTTATTTCTTGGCAGTTTAGCAGCATTAATAGTATATTTTCCACTGCTGATCACTCAGCCAGGGATATTGGCCTTCACTACCACAATGGACTGCATTTTTCACTTAACTCTTTGATAAGGGACTGTCAGGTTCCTCAATTGCCAGCTATTGAGCTGTATTATCTTCTAAGTTTAGATTTACTAAGTTTGTCTCTGTCTTCCAATCTCCAGTGTTGTCTTTGTTATTTAGTTCGTTTTCCTGTTCTCCCTGCCCTGTGTCTCTCCTGGATTGGAATCTCAATGTTGTTCTTCATGCTCTCACTCATCCTTTTTTGTAACTTTGTCTTCGTATTTCCTGTATCACCTTTTCTTCAAATCCCTATTCCTCATATTATTGGCTTGTGGCTGGCAGTGATCTGAGATCTTTCCTATGTTCTCCTCTTCCCTGACCATTCATTTTTGCCCAAGACTTCTGCTGCTATGGAGGGATATTTCACTTTTTCTCCCATTTCATTCTCCTCCATTTCCCATTTTAATGTCCATCCTTATCCTGACCATCTTCTGTGCCTGAGCCCTCTGATAGTACCTCACTTGCACTGCTCCCTTCTGTGGTTCACATAACTGTTTGTTTATTCCATGGAATCCTTCCATGTCCCAGGACTTCTCCAACTACCCTCAGAAATTGGATTCGTTAGTTAATTAAGCTGGTGTATTCTTCCCTTTTGCCTGTAGAGTGTTGCCATTTTATGGTATTTTCTCTTCAAATCCGTCACCTCACCATGTCCCTGGCTGCCCATTTCCATCTTCCTTGGGAGGTCATCATTGGGGCCAGTATGTGGACTACACATCATTCCTTTGTTTCACATTATTTACATTATTGTTGTTTCTCGCTCAGTGGGTTTTTATTTACCTCCAGTTGCTATCTTAGACACTGTGGTGTCATTTATGACTGGTGTGTACTATGTTTTGTTATTAATTTATTTACAGGGGCCTTTTTTGATAGTGTATTGTGCATCCCACTCTGTGGCGAGTGGTGCCTGACCAGGTATCCTTTTTTTTTAATCCGCACTGTCCATCCTGTGACCATGCTCTATGTCAATTACGTTGTAGCTCTTCCTACCACAGACCTAATGTACAATTACAGATGCCATCAGATATTGGTTGTGTACCTCCATTCAGTTGTCGTCTATGCTGAAACAATTATGTTACAGGAGTAGGTACACACACCATAGGACTGCTAGTAGTTTTCTAGTATTCTTTTGCTTCATAAATATGTTTGTCCCAGATTGCACACTCAATGATACATGAGTAAAGCAGACAGGGATTGCTCCCATTTCTGATGCTCCATGGCACTGAGACTCTTCCTACCATGGACCTAATGTACAATTCCAGATATCATGGTTGATTGACATAGTCGACGTGGTAGCTCTGCTTTTCAAAATAGAGTATTGCGGTAATCTGTGGCACTGTCTCCAGTGGTGCACTCTGGACTCTCCAACGCAATTCCCCCTCCTTTCTTCTTGTGGAGTATGGGAGTTCTTGCCACTTACCAGTTCCTAGCCACTGGGGTGGTGGACCATGGAGGCCTGTCCTCCTGAATGAGGCATCATACCACTCAGTTGAGAGTAGGGCAGTGGCATTTTGTGGGTGTCAATATGGCATATAGCAATTCCTACCACTGAACTGATGTACAATTCCAGATACCACCATGTTTTGGTTGTAACACTATGCCATATTCATATATATATATATATATATATATATATATG